AATTTTGAAGTGACGTCATCACATTATTGGTGGGAATGATTAGGCAAATTTTGGTTAGTGTTTTATCATCTACATGATATTCCTAATATAAGTACAAAATGTGACAACAATCGGCCCAGTACTTTCGGAAATTATGTGTCTAATAAAAATCCGGGACGGCAGACGGACAGACAAACGGACAGACAGACGGGATCGGGAAACCTATTTCTTCGTACTCTAGGGGTCATGAAAGGTCGAGAAAACGTAAAAGTAGAGAGTCGGCCGACGAACTCGATTACAATACTTTCTTTGCTTACGTTCGAGAAGTAAAAAAGAAAAGGGCCAAGCCAAGTTCGGCATCGAACCCACGACCGAGTATTGCCGTTTTGTCGACAAAGCCGCTGACCCACTGAGCCACGAGGGGTAATGTAACGTTATTATACCGTGAAATTTTTTTTGTGAAAATTTGAACATTTAGCGAAAAAATTGAAAGCGAATTCGTATACTAGGTATATACAATAGGAGTATATTTTGTACACCATTAAAATCATAAAACACGGTTTATTTGGATGACGTCTTCAAATTGTTGGTGGGGATGATTAGCCAACTTTTGGTTAGTATTTAACCATCTACATGATATTTCTGACATACACACAAAATTTGACAACAACCGGTCCAGCAATTTCGGAGATTACGTGTCTAATAAAAATGGATACAGACACCAGACAGACAGACAGACAGAGGGAAACGCAAGACTACTTTTTTCGTACCGTAGGGGCCATGAAAAGTTGAGAAAACATAAAAGTGGCAATTCGTCCGATCGACTTGATTACTATACTTCCTTAGCTTACGCTAGGGAAGTAAAACATGGGTTTGCGTTGCGACGTCGACGCCATATATGTGTCATATTTGCAATGTACAAAATTAAACTCCCCCTTTTAAGCTTAAAATAATAATAGCATTACAAATTCCAATATTTTTATCCGTTCTCAGGATATTAGCCAGCGAAGTTTTATCTTCAACACCTGCATAAGACTCGCCATCAAATAATTCCACTAAAACAATTTCAAAACAAAATAATCAAAAATTGTGCCATATTACCTAACTTAGTAAATAAAATTGCACTCTCAGTTTTATTATCTGTTATTTATTGAGAAATCTTATTCACCGTTTCGTGAGATAAAATTACTTAACAGTTGTTTTTTGTTCTTTTAACCCATTTTTCACTTGTTATGTAACTAACGTGCTATTCTTCAAATTTCTAATCTACGTAGTCTAGTAGTTTAGAAACGTATGTACATTACATACACCACACATCTGTCAGTGTCAAGTTAAATTCAGAACGGTACATACCCAACTTAGAAAGGTGAACACGTTGAAAATTAGTATCATCAACGACAAGATTTTTTATTCCAAAACCAACCTAGATTCGAAATTTAAAGAATCGCAAACTAATCGAAATCTATTGCAACGGCATCAGTCAACTCTGATATTCTTCGTAAATTTGTATTGCTGGTTTTAAAATGAAAATAAAACAACATCAAACGACAACAAAAAAATATCATCATGACAAGTACTGCAGAAGAGAAGCTGACCAAGAATTGTATTTAGCAAGACAATGCAACAAAAATATCTAATGTCAAAAATGACATTCCGCACTGACATTTGTACATAGACTGTTGCAAAAGAAGCAAGACGTATTAAAAATTTTGAAAAAAAAGTACTTTCGTGCTAAAATGTTTCAAAAAAATAAGACTGAATTTAACAGCAACATTCTCGTGAAATTTTGGTCGAATAAGCTTTACTCTAAATTTGCTAAATTTTCTAAAGTATAGCGTACACTTTCAGTTTTTTGTCGAAATATAAATATAAAGAATTATTGCCGTATCAATAATTTACAGGCTGCGTGGGATTCGTCAGTTTCAGTTAAATGATACCATTAAAAACGTTTAAACTGAAAGGCTAGGCAACTAATTGAAAAGCTCCAGCTCCAGCTCCGTAACTCCAGTTACGATTACCATTAGTCTCATAGTCATGAGTAGAGCACATTTCAGAGGTCCAGTATGCCAAAGATTGTTTTTCCAAGCGATTTCGGTATTGACTCACTGGGTTACACTTTTGTTGCAAACGTTTAGGTAATGTATGAAATATTATTCATTTTATACTTTGCCTAGGTATCCTATACAATACCGAATGCGCAGCCGGTAATGTGTGTAAAAGATGAGAGTAGGTGCTTAAAACTTCTGGAAAAAATTTCCCCCTGTGCCATTGGGTACCACTGTAAGAAATCCCCGTTCCGGAAGTGGACAGAGATCGCGGTGATGCTCGCAATGTATTCTACTAGTTGTAGTTTTACAAAAAACGGATGACGAACTTTATGTCTAATACTTATTATTTTTTTGTGTAGGATCTAGTAACCGAAGAATAAATAAATATTTTTTGTGCAATAATTCTTAATTCTACTGCAAAAAAATACGTACCTTTTTGTAAAGATTGTATTATTTTACACACTGCCGATGGACCACCAGTCAATCCCTAGGAATTGTCTACATTACCTAGGCAAAGTATGTAATGGACAATCATATTCGTAATATTTCATACATTGCCTGGACGCCCCCGGTTTTCTACACATTGCCTAGGTATTGTATAGAATACCTGAATTATACAGATTGCCGGTAACATATATAATTAACATATGTATATTGATATATTCTATGGTCACAGCATCTATACGAGGTAAGTTTGTTAGTTTCAATAACTGAACTTTCTGGTCCTGAAAGGGGTACATTTGTTCTCTGAGTATCCTCCAAATACTCTCCGATACATCACTAGACAGTGATACGTGCTAGTGCCCGGTCGAGCTTCGACACTCTTCAAAACAGCCTCTTCAATATTAGCAATTCTATTACTACGTAACTTACCCCGATCCTGAGGTGCAGGTTTACAAGATCCGTACTCTCGAAAATGCTGCAACGTTCTTAAAACTGCGCACATTTGGCAGACGACGATTTGGGAGGTTTTCTGAAAAAATTCGTTGGGCGCGAGTGCCGTTTACCCGAACTTCACCGTACGTTAAAATGATATCGGTGCATTCCAGATTTGAAAACAAAGCCATTTCAACACATTTCTTCTATAAATTAGAAATCTGTGCCAAACAAACTTTAAAGAGACAACGTTTAATAAAAACATTGACATAAAAATGATTGTCAGTGTCAAAACGGTTGCTAGGGTACCTTCTTCATTGTTGTAGTGTTGTTATTATTTGAGTTATTATTTAAGGTGAACATAGACGGCTCGTGAATATATGGGTGGGAAAATTCGAAATTCGACTTTAGTTTTCGAAAAAATGCTAGATAAAAAAGTTGTTCCGTTTCACGAGTTTTGTTACTGGTTAAAATTAATGTACTTATTTCTGAGACACCCTGTATAATAATTTTTATTCATTTTGACAGCTCATTTCGAAAGTAGCACCTTATCACGTTTTAGACTTTTGAATTCCCATTTTTATAACTTTTTGATAGCTAATAATGCCTGGCTCGCGTTTTTGTTTAATATTTCTTCGTATTTCATACACATATTTAAATTATTCTCTCTCAAAGAAACCTTACGATCGAAAGTCACGATAAAAGGGAAACAAAAAGATTGCAAGAAGTATAAACGATTTAGATAAATTTCTGAATTATTCCCACCTATAAGTCAATAACCTAGAAATGTGTTTGACACGATTCTGATAAAATTTTATTTGATTTTATCTGACCATGACGCGAACAACGTTTTTATTATGAATGAGATAACAATAATAAGTGTGACAACAACTGTGTATACTATTTGGTAATATTCTATAATTTACAGTTAATCTCCTTTTGAATTATTTTGGCACCAATATTTGTTGTATTGCAGTTATCTAAAGTTATTTAGATTTTGGTAAGCGAAGGAAACATCTTAAGTTGTCACTTCAAATTTCAGACGTCTATTATTGCAATGAATTCAGTTATTACGAAAAAAATACAGGTAAAACAGACTTATCGGAGATCACTGTCGCACTTCGAAATGCGTTCGTATTGTGAGAGTCGCTCACAAACTATTTTTTTTTATGCATATTTACTTTGACTTGCAATCTCACTTTTAATTATATCATACTTGCTATGCTTACGCATCGTAAACCTCGGAAGCACGAATCAAACTCGGAGAAACCAGGTAAAAACGATACTCTTTCCCAATTGAGGGTAGGCCCGACTATGGCTTTACAGGCTGATTTTGTAATTATTTTTCGCAAGCGCCTTCTCAAGTGGACACGTACCTTTAGTCTGCCACCACAAGATATATAGTACGTCGTCCTCAGAGCATGATCAATCGAAAAAATCCAATTTTCTAGATAAATTAAAATGCGTTTTTTTGTTAAAGGTCCACCAACTCGTTTGTAAAAATATAAGCGACAACATGACAAAGGATTTTTGTAGGGTGAAGAAAAAAAATAAGTTTAGATTTATAATTTGAAAACTGAAGCATCAAAAATTCATAAAAAAGTTTGTTTGAACGCGATTTAGTTTTTCCGACAATGGAATTGTGTAATTAACAAAAAAGATCTTTCAATAGATGAATTCAATGTGAGAGGAGCACAGAAAAAGTCAAAAGTCATTTTGTTCACTTTAAAGCACTTAGTTTAAAAGAAAAACTTTACAGGCTGGCTTCACTCCAGATTTTTAAATTTCGCGTACTTTAGCGGCTGATCATCGGCATTTTGACCTTTATTTTGTTGTTTAATACTAACACTGAGGTACTTATAACATGTACTTTCTGGTATTTATGTTTTTGTCATGAAAAAATAAGAGAAAGTGAATAAGTGCTGCAAATACAAAAACAAACTAATAATAACTTAATAAGTGAAAGAGGTGAAGTTTAACAGAAAGAGAAATTGCTGGGAACATTTTCAAGTTCCATGTTTTCAACATCTTGATCGATGTCCCTATCTAAGACTGAGAAATCAGGGCCTGATTTAAAAATTTGAAATCAGAAATAAATTAGTTGCTGAGGTAATTTATATTTATACAGAAATTACAATAAATACTTAGTTAAATAAATTTACGTTTTCCTGTTGTTTATTTATATACATTATAACTTCTTAGTCAGTACTCTCATTGCTTTCTCCTCCATTACCAGTACAGCCAGCTTGTTCTGGCCAGTCACAAACATTCAGTGTGGGGTTAAAATGTAAATTGGCAGGACAATCAAACAAATATGGTACTCCATTAGAACATTGCCAAAATTTGGTGCAATCTTCGTGCGGAATATAAACAGAGTCTTTACCGTCTTTCGCAGGACATTTTGGATCACCTGAAGTTAATTTATTATGCAAAAAAATGTATAATTCAAATATATTTACCGTCAGTCTCTCCGCTATTGCTACCACTGCTGCTACTGCTACTGCTATCATCATCATCATCATCATCGCCACTTGTGTTGCTATTGTCGCCTCCGCTAGTATTGTCATTGTTACTACTGTCGTTTTCATCGCTGTCACTGCTGCTACTGCCGCTGTCACTACTGCTACTGCCGCTTTCACCGCTGCCGCTACCACTACATCCAGCTTGATCTGGCCAATCGCAAACGTTCAATTTTGGATTGAAATGTAGACCGGCAGGGCAATTTTGTAGAATAGGAACACCATTGGAACATTGCCAGAATTTAGTACAGTCTTTGTCAGGTATGTAAACAGAATCTTCACCATCTTGAGCAGGGCATTGGCCACCTAATCATAACAGTAAATATATTACATAAAGAATTTATCGTGTTATAATATTATGTAATTCACCTCCACTTTCTCCACTGTTTTCTTGACTACTGCTGTCACTACCACTGCTACTGCTATCGTCGTCACCATCACCGCTGTCACCACCATCACCGCTGTCACCACTTGTGTTACCACTTTCACTGCTTCCACTGCTGCCACTACTGCTATTCTCTTCACTGTTACTGTTTCCCTTACATCCGGCTTGATCGGGCCAGTCGCAAACATTCAGTTTTGGATTGAAATGTAGACCGGCAGGGCAATTTTGTAGAATAGGAACACCATTGGAACATTGCCAGAATTTAGTACAGTCTTTGTGAGGTATGTAAACAGAATCTTCACCATCTTGAGCAGGGCATTGGCCACCTAATCGTAACAGTAAATATATTGCATAAAGAATTTATCGTATTATAATATTATGTAATTCACCTCCATTTTCTCCACTGTTTTCTTGACTACTGCTGTCACTGCCACTGCTACTGCTATCGTCGTCACCATCACCGCTGTCACCACCATCACCGCTGTCACCACTTGTGTTACCACTTTCACTGCTTCCACTGCTGCCACTACTGCTATTCTCTTCACTGTTACTGTTTCCCTTACATCCGGCTTGATCGGGCCAGTCGCAAACATTCAGTTTTGGATTGAAATGTAGGCCGGCAGGGCAATTTTGTAGAATAGGAACACCATTGGAACATTGCCAGAATTTAGTACAGTCTTTGTGAGGTATGTAAACAGAATCTTCACCATCTTGAGCAGGGCATTGGCCACCTAATCGTAACAGTAAATATATTGCATAAAGAATTTATCGTATTATAATATTATGTAATTCACCTCCATTTTCTCCACTGTTTTCTTGACTACTGCTGTCACTGCCACTGCTACTGCTATCGTCGTCACCATCACCGCTGTCACCACCATCACCGCTGTCACCACTTGTGTTACCACTTTCACTGCTTCCACTGCTGCCACTACTGCTGTTCTCTTCACTGTTACTGCTTCCCTTACATCCGGCTTGATCGGGCCAGTCGCAAACATTCAGTTTTGGATTGAAATGTAAACCGGCAGGGCAATTTTGCAGAATAGGAACACCATTGGAACATTGCCAGAATTTAGTACAGTCTTTATCGGGTATGTAAACAGAATCTTCACCATCTTGAGCAGGACATTGGGAACCTGAAATGCAATTATATGTTAAGTTGGAGCATTACAAATTATTCCTCAAAATTATACTGTCTGTTTCACCACTGCCGCTACCACTGCTGTTGCTACTTTCGTCGTCTGTTTGACTGCTATCTTCTTGGCTTTCCTTTGTATCTTCTTCACTACTGCTGCTGCTACTGCTACCACTGCTCTCACCACTACCTCCACCACTACCCTTACATCCAGCTTGATCAGGCCAGTCACAAACGTTCAATGTCGGATTGAAATGTAAATTAGCAGAACAATTGAAAAGATATGGAGTGCCGTTGGAACATTCCCAGAATTTAGTGCAGTCTTCATGAGGAATATAGACAGGATCTTTTCCATCAGTTTTGGGGCATGTAGGATCTACCATTTACGAAATGAGAATATAAAATATGAAATTTCTTTGTACTTACCCCCACTCGCTTGGATTGCAGTTAGCGCCACAAACGTGAAAATAAATAATAACATTATTACTTTTTAGTCGTTCTGATGTTGGTTATAACGAGAGAACAACCCACAACTGACGAAAGACTGCCCTACGAGTGATGTTTTATAGTAAAAACGATGACATAAAAATCCTTTTGATGAATTAGTCAATCTGTCTTAGATCCATTTTGAAACAGTTAATTGATGGCTTTTATTAAGTTTATAAATCAAGTCTAATCGAAAATGAATAATCGGTCGTGTAGTGACGCAAATTGTAGAGTGCATATTTTTAATTAATTCTTTGTAGAATTAACTAATACAGGGTGTTAATAAATGATTTACATTTACATGACCGTGAAAACGACTTAACCAAAAATTTGCCTCTTTCGAAAAATACAATTTGTTGTGGATAGAATTTGAGTATTGCCATTCTCCGTCAATCTCTTCGCCAGGTCAAAAATAGATTCCGATTATTAATTCATCTTCTTTTGGAGTCCACATTTTTCCCTATCCTTTGCGATTTAAAGAAATAAACGTTAAAATCTGAATTAAAATTTGATAACTAACTGACAGATTAATTAATTCAGCAAAAAGTTCAAATGACGCGGAATATTAATAAATTATTTTATAGCCCACTAGATGTAAAATTATATATTAACACCCTGTATAAAAATAATAATATGAGAATAAAATATATACTTTAATAACAATCATTGTTTTATACAAAAACTAAAAAAAAACGAAAATCAGTTGGAACTAATCCTTCAAGAATTTACTGAATATTGTAGCCGCATTAAAAATAAAATGAAACACTAGTAGATAAAGTTCTTTTTAAATTGGGCAAGTATACACTGACCTGCAAAAAAAAAACGGCCACCACGAAATATTTTGCAAAACCGCTGTAAAAATTATATTTTAACTAGTGACTGTATTTATTTGTCGCTTTTTTTATTTAATTTGTACATCCTGTGTGCTCAGTCAATAGACCCAATTCTGAATCAAACCCGTTAAAATTTAAAGGTTGTTAAAAAATAAACAGCCAATCAGATTTACGAATTTAACTCGTTACTATGGAAATTTGCAATTTAACACCCTTTAAATTTAACAACTTTGATTCAGAATTGTCCCTTATGTGTCTTTAAATAAAATTAATTATTAATAAATTAATAATTTTTAAAGCGATTTTGCCAAATATTGCAAGGTGGCCGGGTTCTTTTGCCGGTCAGTTTATAATAATTACAAGTAGTCCAGAAAACTTCGCCTATTTTTAGAAACTCAAAAAAAAGGCAAATAATGAAAGAAAGCAAATGTCTCTGTAAAACAGACCTTGGTGATGAGAGTTTTAACCACACTTAAAACAAATAGTTTTGATGATCTACACTATTAAGTCACAATAAACTGAACGTAAATAATCTTCCTTTATTGTAGTTTTTACATCTAAAAATAATTCAGTAAATTTTTATAAACAAAGTTAATTCACCAAGTATATCCCCGCAATAACAAGCATAGAACGATAAACCAATGAAAGAAACTGGCGTAGGAGTTGCCGCAAGTACAACAAAAAAAAAAGAAACTCGTCTTTTTACAAACATCACAGTCAATAGTGCCAAATAAATTTGAAATGTGAATAAGTTAACTTTTCGTATTAAAAAAAAAGGTATGGATTTATTCTGCCACTGTTGCTTGCATACTTTATTATTAAATAATACTCATAAAATAAATATGAAAAAATGAATTACTTGCATTTACTAGGAATTATTTAAAATAAAAGTTAAGCAATCATAATGCGTCATGCTAATACCGGTCCAAAATAACAAAAGGTTTAAACCAAAAATAGAACTTTTTCTTTGTAGTTAATACTTGAATAAAAATTACACGTGCTTTACTTTACAGTTTTATCACTGGGATTACTCCATTATAATAAGATTACAGACTTTGATTTATGGTAAAATAAATCACTCTTTCTATTGAATTTATACAAAGAAATGGGATTTAAGGGATTATAAGTAAACCTTTCTCAAATGCCTTTGTTTATTTTGATAATTTTTAGAATTCTGAGATTACAAACCTGGAAACTCATTTAAAAAAATAAATATATAAGCTCACTCAACGGAAAATATCCGCTAATCTTTAAAATAAAATTCTGAATGTATGAATTACTAAAAAAAAATTTGAGGACGTAATATAATGTCACAGTTATATTTGAATACAGATTAAGGTACTAAAATTCTGCATATACCATATTATTGTTTTTAACTTAAACAGAATGGACTTTTTGAATTATTTTTTTGTTATTTTGTGACTGTTGCCACCGTAGATCATATAATAAATAGATACCAATACTCAAACTGAAAGCTGTGACTAGACATGAAGCTATCTGTTGTCGTTTTCTACGTCAAGAGGAGTAGTATAATGCTATCCTTGTGTGATCACCACATCTTCATCTTTGTTATATGCATTTCATCTGTATATGTCTATTTCACTTCCATCCTTGTACCGCACCAGCGCAACAAATCGCTTTTGACAGATGTTTCTTCTAACCTCTCTTTCGAGTTGTTGTACAAAAAACAATTTTAGAATTGAGAACAAAGATCCTATTTTAAGTGATGTAATCATAAAGGATCACAATTGCTGCCCAATAATTTACTATTCCTTTCGTTATCTACTGTGAATTATTTATAAAATCAAGCTGTCAACATCTTTCGTACGAAGTTAGCTCAGACATACTTCCTAAAATTTAGGCGCGCAAAATTCAAATAGTGATCAGGCAAGGATAGCTTCATTGTAATCCCTCCATGCACGAGAGAGATGTGTGACAGGAGGATGTCGTCACAGGCTCTGCTAGGGAAAGAACACGGCATGGTGGTATCTATTTATTATATGATCTAAGGTTGCCACACCTACACGTTATAAGGCAGTTTTCAACATCCAACACAGATACAAGACTTTATTTCCGTAAACAGTTATATTTTGCACACAAATTTAGCACAATCTGAATAACTGTTTCATTTTTACTTCCCCTGCCTAATTTCCTCCCGTTTTTCTTTATCTCATCTATGGTTTGACTATCGTCTGTTGGTTGGCTATTTTAGTAATATGATAATTTCCGAAACTACTGGACTAATTATTGTTATATGTTTTCCGAATGCCGTGTACACGGTAAAACATTAAAACTAAATTTATCCAACAATTCGATGGCGTGATCTACCATAATTACAATATAAACTTTAAGAAATAACGTACCTGTGATTTATAAATCTCTGTTACTTTTTATTTTGGACCTCCAGATTTTTGAGAAAAAAAATCAAAATTCTTTAATAGCGTTTTACGATTTAACTTAGAAACTTCATCCTAAATGCTTTGAAATCTTGCACATATATATTTTAAGGGTATCGTAAGCATAGTAAATCACTAATCCTAATTTATTTGTTCAAAATTTTGTTAGATAAATCCTATTTAAAAAATACAAAATATTATGAGTCAAGTAGTGCATTCATAATTTCTAGAATTGCTTGCATAAAACACAAAATATTTTATTGTCAAAAACGTCTTACTTCCATTTAAACCTTTTATCCAGACATATTTATTTAATGCTTGGAAAAATTCCACTGGATCGTTGTCGCAAATTATAAATATAATAATCTCTATGTACAAAATTAGTCAAACCTTGTACAGTTAACAGAAAATTTATAAAATTTGATTTTGCAATATTTGTTTTGTAATAACCTCTATAAAGTAAACTGTATCTATAAAGATTTTTACCTGCGGGGGCGCAAATTACAAGGGAATAATAGAAAATATATTTAAACCAGATAATCAACGGGAAAAATGTATTTTCAGTAATTACATATTTAACTTCGGGTGTTTATGTTGATACTTCGACTATAATAATCACGTTCGCATTACAAGCATCAGTGGTCGCATAAAAGAAAATGAAATTTGATTAATTTTCTATCCTTATTGACGACAGGACTGGTTAATTAGTTAAGCTACAAGGCAGCAAAAGCTTATATTATTTTGGGTTAGATGCTGTTATTGTAATAATAAATAATCATTTGATGTATGACATTCGATAAAATCTAATAAACCCTTTTTGATTTGATTAAAAAAAACGGGCAAAAGTTGTTTCGACAGAACTTCCCTCGCACTTAAAGTACAATGAACCATATCCAGCATTTTCGAGTTAAGTCTTTTCTTTTGCACAATTTTGTGATGACGTTATTAACATTTTTGCAAGAACACGTATAACAACGTGGATTGGTGCAGTGTAACACTAAAAATAGCAGTATTGTATTCCAAAAATTTTCCGAAAAAATGGAGTAGGCCATTCCTGATTTAATCAATAAAATAAATTCCCTCATTGACTGTTTAAGTAAATCTAAAAAATTGGTCTAAAGAGTTTAGACAGTACTTCCCTCGCTGTCGGAAACGTGACGACTGCATGTCTATTATGTTTTCTTTTCGCAGTAGATTTCATTATTTTTTTTGAGTCACCCGGTATATGCAAATTCAAAAAATATGAATGGAATGATAAATTACAAGTACAGACTCATCATATTTTGTATATTCTAGATAGGATTTATTTGGCAAACTTTTGAGCTGAAGTCATCAGTTTTTTGTAGAAGATAACCAAATATATTTTGACTAAAAATTTATTATGCTCTTTATAACCTTAAAACATTTGCAAGATTTCAAAACATTCGGTTCTGCAGTTCCTGATTAAATCAATAAAATACATTTACTCATTCATTAATTTTTTGGGTCACCCTGTATATGCAAATCCAAAAACTATGAATGGAATGATAAATCACAAGAAAAGACTCATCATATTTTGTACATTTTAGATAGAATTTATTTAGCAAAATTTTGTGGTGAGGTCATAAATTTTTTAGGGGGGATGAGTAAATACATTTTGATCAAAAACTTACCATGCTTATGATAACTTTAAAACACCTTCAAGATTTCAAAACATTCGGTTTTGTAGTTCCTGAGTAAATAAATAAAATAAATTTACACATTCATGAATTTTTTTGGTCAAATCCAAAAAAATATAAATGAGCTGATAAATCACAACTACAGACTCATCGTATTTTATACATTTAAGATAGGAT